GCCCGTCCGCACGCCACAGCAGCAAGCCACCGCCGGCCCCGCGCGCCCGCCGCTACATCCGGGAACTGCGGCCGCGACGACGGCAGCACCAGGGAAACCGGCGGCGGCCGCCACCGCCCGCCTCCCGTCCTGCGCATGCGCCCGCCCCGGCGCCTCTGCGCAGCCGCAGCGCGGCGGGGCACGGACGAGGCGGTGGGGCACTCGCGCGCCACCTGCGTAGCCGGGGTGGTCACTGACCGGCGCGGCTGCTGCTCCGGTGCCGGTGCCGGCGCCCCGCCCCGCCCCCCCCTTCCGCTTCCCCGAATCGGGCCGGTGCCGGTGGAAATGGGAGGAAGCAGAGGAGGGAAGAGGGATTTATTTACCCCTGCAGGCAGAACTGCCTGGGGCTTCCGCCAGTCGCCAGCCTGGCGGTCTCCTTTGGGGGCGTGGGCGGTGTTGAGTTCCCCGAGGGCAGCGGCCCCGCCCCGCCCGGGGCTGAGGTGATTTTGGCGGCAGAAGCAGGGAGGGCGCTCCTGCCGCTGCCCTCCGCGGAGCCAGCCTTCCCAAATTAAATTGTATCAGTTAAGTCTCGCGCGATAGAGCTTAGGTATAGCTGTATTGCGTTTCCCCCGTTTTCTAGTTACTTCTATGCCCTGAAATCCTCTTTTTTTTTTCCTAACCGTGGACACGAGTCCTGTGCGCTATTGAGGTGAGATAGTGGCGCTGTACTCTCCTGGAAAGCAAGTCTATATGTAAGATGCAAAATAAACTTCCATAGCCCAGGAGCTTTTTTAGCTGGTATTCAGGTCCTCCATTCAACAGAGTGGGGGAACCTGTACCTCCACCCGCCCTTCCTACCTCAGGGTATCCCTCATGGAGGACAAACCTAAATACAATTCTTTATAAACTACCCTCTCCATAAGCAAGAATGAAGGACATTCACCCTCACAATATTCAAGGATTTCCTTTAACTCCACACATCCTGGGTAATCTTACATAGAATACAGTTCTTCATTTTAAAAATGGTCCTCCAATTGTTTTTGTCTCTCCACATCAACTTTTTAAAAGCATCTGTCTTAAAAGGACAGACAAGTCCGAACCACACAAAAGAATACCATTTCTTAGTCAACAGGGAAATGGCTGATAAAAGGCAGCCCAGCTACCCTTGTGTCCTGGGTACTTTTACTGTTTCAGTGCTTCCTTCCACCTTTGTGGTTATTAATATGGCTAGAAGAGTCTATGAGATAATTTCCTGACTTCTTTTGTGTAGTTTTCTCACAATATGTACAGCAAAGCAGAATAATATGAACATGTAACCACCAGACTACCACCACATTCGTCACATAATTCATTCCTTCCTAACCCATGCTAATGCTAAAGAACGTCGCCTTAAACATGAAATTGTGTCCTGACAATAGGCACTCTCAAGCAGTGTCTGATTTCTACTTCTGCAGTGGAAACCCCAAAACACTAGCAGATATCACCCTAGAAAAGCATGCAATTGCCAGGCAGTGTGAGTTTTCTTGCAAATGCTTCTCCCCATACGAAAGCTACCCGCAGCTTGTACTAGCTTATTACATTTGGTACATGTAATTGAAATTAAATGCGTAACACATGGCAGAATTTCCCTTTCTATTGAAGGATCTAGATAGGCTCTATCTATGGTCATAATGTTCCCATCTGCCTCATTTTCCTTTTTCATGCTTTCATAGTTATGGGCAAGGATAAGGTTCATGCATATCTAAGGATAACCCAGAGCACGTTTTTCTATTGCTCCTTGACAGGGTTGGATAAAAGGCTTTTTGCAACCAGGAAATGTGAGCCAGGAAAACCAACAAAGTTTGAGAACAGAATTAGTACTCCTGGAGAAAATCAGAAGAGTTTATCCCTTGTATTTATTTTTCCAAGAAATTCTGAATTATAGACATTCAGAAAGTCTACTGCTGCAGTTCAGCAGCAGTGCATGTGGGCAGATACTATCCTGGAGCTTCTTCTCTCCTGATAATCCTTCTCCTGACCACTCCTGCTCTGTCCATCCCAATAGACCCTGCCTCTCCTACTCA